TTTTTGAGAAAAAAATTTATTTGATTAAATGATTTCAAAAATAATTTTATAATACAGAAAATAGTAAAATTTATTTGGACATCCTAAATGTATATCTAAACAGTAATTCAAACATTAATAAAAAATTATTTTTATATTGACAATTTTATAATATATATATATATATATAATTTTTTAATATAAAAATAGATTAAGGCATTGAATATAATCGAATGTTGGTTTTGCTTACAATGAGATAATGTTGGGCATGTCATTTTTATTAGAGATATGATAAAAATTAAAAATTAAAAAATATTCATGTGTCTATCATTATCTTTACTTATTCAAACAAACTTAAATATCGATAAATCTCTTTAAATTCTATCATATCTCTCGCGGTTTTCAAAGTGCGATGACTTGACATTGTTGTTGTTCTAGTGCATATCACTTTTTTTTTTTAAATGTTTGATTTTTATTTTTTTTTGCTTAATTATCAGAAGATGAATGGTAAAATTGGAAAGCTAAGGGTCTATTTGGTTTGCGTTTCAAAAAATAGTATCTGAAAGTAATTTTTGAGAAGAGTTTTAAGAAAGTGGTTTTGATATTTTTTGAGAAAAAAATTTATTTGATTAGATGATTTCAAAAATAATTTTATAATACAGAAAATAGTAAAACTTATTTGGACATCCTAAATGTATATCTAAACAGTAATTCAAACATTAATAAAAAATTATTTTTATATTGACAATTTTATAATATATATATATATATATAATTTTTTAATATAAAAATAGATTAAGGCATTGAATATAATCGAATGTTGGTTTTGCTTACAATGAGATAATGTTGGGCATGTCATTTTTATTAGAGATATGATAAAAATTAAAAATTAAAAAATATTTATGTGTCTATCATTATCTTTACTTATTCAAACAAACTTAAATATCGATAAATCTCTTTAAATTCTATCATATCTCTCACGGTTTTCAAAGTGCGATGACTTGACATTGTTGTTGTTCTAGTGCATATCACTTTTTTTTTTTAAATGTTTGATTTTTATTTTTTTTTTGCTTAATTATCAGAAGATGAATGGTAAAATTGGAAAACTAAGGGTCTATTTGGTTTGCGTTTCAAAAAATAGTATCTGAAAGTAATTTTTGAGAAGAGTTTTAAGAAAGTGGTTTTGATATTTTTTGAGAAAAAAATTTATTTGATTAGATGATTTCAAAAATAATTTTATAATACAGAAAATAGTAAAACTTATTTGGACATCCTAAATGTATATCTAAACAGTAATTCAAACATTAATAAAAAATTATTTTATATTGACAATTTTATAATATATATATATATATATATATACACATATCTGAACATAAAGAATTGTTCTTTTTGTTTACAAAATTTTCAAAGAAAACTTTGAAAACAAGTGTATTCTGTTTTTTTGACTCAAATCTCATTTTTTCCCCCAAATTTAGAAAACAAAAATACTAAACAAACAAGTTTTAGCTGTTTTTGAAATTTTGAGAACAAAAAATTATTTTCNTAAATGTTTGATTTTTATTTTTTTTTGCTTAATTATCAGAAGATGAATGGTAAAATTGGAAAGCTAAGGGTCTATTTGGTTTGCGTTTCAAAAAATAGTATCTGAAAGTAAATTTTGAGAAGAGTTTTAAGAAAGTGGTTTTGATATTTTTTGAGAAAAAAATTTATTTGATTAGATGATTTCAAAAATAATTTTATAATACAGAAAATAGTAAAACCTATTTGAACATCCTAAATGTATATCTAAACAGTAATTCAAACATTAATAAAAAATTATTTTTATATTAACAATTTTATAATATATATATATTGGTATACGTATTATATGTATATATTTATTTATATACGTATATATAAGAATATATATATATACTCATATCTAAACATCAAAAATTGTTCTTTTTGTTTACAAAATTTTCAAATAAAACTTTGAAAACAAGTGTATTCTGTTTCTTTGACTAAAATCTCATTTTTTCTCCCAAATTTAGAAAACAAAAATACTAAACAAACAAATTTTAGGTGTTTTTGAAATTTTGAGAACAAAAAATTATTTTTGAATCACAAACCAAGCATGACCAAATAATTTCCAGACATCAACTTTTGGTACCGATCAAACATATATTTTTATTTGAACATATTGATCAAACAAATTGATTCTATTTAGTACTTAAATTTCAATAAGATACCAAATAGTTAGTAAATTAAAAAAAAAATTCAACATTCAACATTTAAAGATCAATATTCAATTTTTAGTTTTAGAGTTTAGTTTTCAATTTTATCAAACCATTTAATCCAACGGTGCTCTTAATTTGCCCATAATCCAACTCGAGCATTGATTGACGTGTAAATAGGCCCGACTCTTACTTTGGATTACAACTATCAATTTCAGATTGTGTTAGTTTATACGACTTACTTACGACATTGATAAAAAAACATTGGTATCGTACCTCAAAAATTTATTATTTTAATTTGTGTTTTTATAAGTTTCATGAGTCATTTTACAACTAATTTTTTTTCACTTGTGTGGGTTATTTATTACTGTTGTGGGTATTTTTTATCACTTTGTGGTAATTATTTTTATCACTTTTTTCAATATTACAACAATAATAAAAACACACAACAGTAATAAAAATATTTACAAATGCGATAAATAGAGATATAGTACCAAATTTTATATCGTTACCATAAGCAACTTCTAGTTTATATCGTTTTAGATTCGTAATGTGTATAAATCATGTTTAACAAATTTATATAACTTTTGGTTAAATTCGCATTTACTCACATACTTAATGGGTCGATTTGGTTTTTTAACATTGGAAGTTCGAACAGCTAAAATTAAATCCAAATCGTACTAATTTTGTGTCAAATTTTTGAATAGTACATGGGTTTTTATTTTTCGTCTTTATTTTTTTATTTGGATGAGGAAAAATCACACGGTCTANTCCAAATCGTACTAATTTTGTGTCAAATTTTTGAATAGTACATGGGTTTTTATTTTTTGTCTTTATTTTTTTATTTGGATGAGAAAAAATCACACGGTCTGNATCACACGGTCTATCCTCGGCGAGTAGATGCGTGCTTGTGTCATTCAGACTCGTGACTCTAAATAGAATCAAAGGCAAAGTTTGAGTGAATGAACCGATCTCTCAACTTATAAACTATTTAATTCAGAATTTGTGTTTCGTTAGAAATTCAAGACTCATATCAGATATTTAAATACAATTCATCAAAACAACTAAAATCTTATCTCAGCAGCCACGCTTTTTTACACCAGGGGATTTCAACCACCTGCCTCCCACTAAAAAACCTTATTACATCCGGGGATTTCAAACACCTGGCCTTCCACTAAAAACACCTTTTTACACCATGGGATTTCAAACACCTCTGGCCAACTAGATCACCCCAGTTGGTTTGTCTTTATTTTTTTGTCTGGGCACATTCAAGTACTTCAATTTCAAAGCAGTTAGCTGTCAAGGCCCTTCAATTTTATCCAATTAGGTGTCGTGGGTCCCCACAAGCCGATTCAATTAGAGCTCCGCTGTACGCTGATTAGAAATACCAGCTTGTGAGTTCATCATCCATCAGCACTAATAAGTGAATGAATCGTGTTGACCAATACGAATTCGTGTTAAGTTGACATGTATTTGTGTTTTTATATTTAATTTATTTATTAATTTATATTTAATAAATCTTGTCGTATCAAATTTGTAACGTATATATATTATGTAACCGGTAAAAATATGTCATGTTGCCTCAAGTTTTAACCCAAATATTATATATCCCGTATGTCCCTTAATACTCTCACGTAAGGGTGTTCACTCTAACTTATAGGTAGAAAATATAATATTTTGTCTTTATACCCAATATTTTTGTGAAATAATTTTTTCTTGACCTACCCTACTTGATCAGATGTAATATTCTTACCCGATTAATCGGGTAGAAAGTCGGATAAATATTTTTGTAACTATTAATTTTTGGATCATTTTAACAATTCAATTAAATAATATACACCAATTTAACAACACAATAAATCAATAATATTAAAATTTAAAACAATTACAACAACAATTACAATAAAATATAAGAAAATATGAACATCAATCTATTATAATTGTTACACAAATATAATAACAATTATTTTAATTTTAAACCATATGAAACACATTAAAATCATACTGTTCCAATAACTCACCAATTTACCACAAATCATGTAACATACACAAAAAATAAGTTCATATTTTTGCTACTCAAATATCTACAACAATAATAATATTATAATATAAATTATACCAGATAAATACTTNGTTCCAATAACTCACCAATTCACCACAAATTATGTAACATACACAAAAAATAAGTTCATATTTTTGCTACTCAAACATCTACAACAATAATAATGTTATAATATAAATTATACTAGATAAATACTTTTATAATTACTAAAAAAAATATAAAAAAATTAAATATATTTTTTGCGGGTAGGGTAGGATAGGAATGTGAAAATTGATGAGTATTCCGCATTTTTACCCGACTTAATCGAAAGACTAAAAATTCTTTTGTAATTTTACNAAAAAAATAAAAAAATTAAATATATTTTTTGCGGGTAGGGTAGGATAGGAATGTGAAAATTGATGGGTATTCCGCATTTCTACCCTATTTAATCGAAAAGCTAAAAATTCTTCTGTATTCTTATCCAATTTTTTGCGATTAACTGCTTAGTAGGAGTGAGTAGTATCGGATAGAGTAAGAAATTACTGTCAATCGAAAATTTGAATACCCCTACTCATGTGCTTGGCACATGATATTTTTTAGTAGGTTTTCGGATGAAAGTTAAAGGTAAGGATGAAAGTGGATTAATGTGCGAACATTGAGGACGAAATTGGCATGAATTAAAAATTTAAAAACAAAAGTAAAATAAGTGACAAACCTCGACAACATCGGTGCAATGCAACTTACCTTATCAAAATTGGAAATAAGGACGTCTGCGCTTCGTCTTTGTTACATATGAGTGTGGTGGGGATAACTGTTTGACACCCCTAAATTCAGCTTACTAATTAAAAAGTCAAACGTCAAAATATCCTGAAACAATTAATTAAACGATTGATTGATTTACCGCGGTCGGTTCTAAGTGCAGGTCTTTCTGGTGATCTCTCTCTCGCTCTCTTTTTCTATTTATTTCTTGTTCGATCAATCGACTCGGTCTTGGTACATGTCTGTCATTCGCATCGATTACGATCCCACAAGATAAAGTTGATTCGACCTGAAAGATTTTGTTCTTGAATCATCTAACCTGCAATGTCTGAATTGTGTGAATCTAGCGAGGATAGTCGAATATTGTCGAAAATCAGGCATGTCTTGTATAACACCTCTAGTTTTATCTAGTTTTATAGATATAGACGACATTGAGTGTTTAATTGATCAATGATTGGCATTAATTGGTTACAATAAAGATAATTAATTGGCATAGAATTGTAGTTCTTCATGATCTACGACAGTGTAGGGATCCTTGACAATCTCTACGCTCTTAATTATTATCTACAGTACTAGCTGTTTGGTTTAATTGTATGAAATTGGATTACTCATGTCTAATTGTTTTTGTTGCTTCCGAAGTGCTGGTAATTTGTAGAAGTATATCTTCGGTGTTGTCGATAAGTCTATTAATCAACTTTGTTTGACTTCTGAAGTTGTGGAAATGCTTAAGACTAATTAGATGTCAGTACTCTTGTTTTTTGGAGTGTGGAATTGAAAGCCAAACTAGGTATCATTGATTCATGTATTGTGTTTGTATAATATGATGTCAGTTCATCATATATGAAAATAACTATTCAATGCCTGATAAAGGAAGATCTACCTTTTAATTAGCTATATTTCGGAGCGACAAGCTATTGATACGATGGTCAATAATCTCAAAATGCTAACTATAAGGCCCAGAAAGGCAAATTGGGATCTATTGGGTTCATGTTGTTGGTGTTAGCTAATTTTCTGGCACCAAAAGGTAGACATTTTCATTTTATCCTTGGGAAAGCTATATTTGGCTTCCACTTTAAAGAAGGGCTCCTATGCAACTTGTTTTTGGTGCACTTGTTTTGGTTCACTGATGAGGATTGCTCAAAGCATCCAGTTTGATAATTTATGTCAAGAGTATTAGTCCAAATGCTATATCGACAAATACAAGTATGTCAGTTTCTTGCAGCTTTTTGAGACCATCTAGTATCTCATATGTAAAGTTGATATTATCTTGGTAGATTGTTTGTGTGATTGTAAAAAGTCTGGGTGGTAGATGACAGTTTGCCTTTTGAAAACACCCAGATGTTAATTTGGGCTCTTTTCCTGATTTTGTAATTTCGCTATTTTGCAGGATTTTTGGTGTCTGTTGAAATGTTCTGCAGGAATAATAGCTTGGGCAATTACTTTTGCAGCTTGATCCTGGTTTGGCTTTTTTCGCTATGCAATTAGTATCAAATGATAGTCGGGCGGAAGATAGTTCAGAAACTGAACCCATCTTATGTCAGTCAGATAGTCTGGAAAGATCTGAGGAGCCTTCTTCTTTAGTTGAGATAATAATTGTAGGTGGGGATGGTTCTGTAGCTTCTGATGACTCAAAAAGTCTTGGCACAGCTGAAAATTCCTGTCTGGTAAATGCGGACCAATTGCAATGCCGTATATGCCTTGATAGTGGAGGTCTTTACTACCCAATCTCAGTAATTTTTCTTTGCTCCATTTTTGAGTTTCGCATCCCCAGTACGGACAATGCACCTTATTTATTTGACAAAAACAAGATTTGTGTGCATAATCAGAAATTTTGGATGATATTTATAGCCANACCCAATCTCAGTAATTTTTCTTTGCTCCATTTTTGAGTTTCGCATCCCCAGTACGGGCAATGCACCTTATTTATTTGACAAAAACAAGATTTGTGTGCATAATCAGAAATTTTGGATGATATTTATAGCCATGAATCAGTTCCTATTATGTTTAGTGTTACTAAAGCTTGGAGTTATTCATTCTCAGGAGAAGATATGATTGCACCATGCCACTGTAAAGGTACTCAGAAATACGTCCACAGATCATGTCTTGATAACTGGAGGTCAACCAAGGTGGGTACCTGGTTGATGTTTGTTAGTGCTGTTCTGGAAACAACATATTGATGACATCCTTCACTATACCAAGCCTTTTGCTTTTTTTAACATGAGATTAATATCTAATTTCTGGATCATATTTGATTTATAATCCAGGAGGGATTCGCTTTTTCTCACTGTACAGAATGTCGGGCAGTGTTCATATTACGTGCAAATGTCCCACCTGACCGCTGGTGGTTGAGATTAAAATTTCAATTTCTCGTTGCAAGGGACCATGCATTTATTTTTGTTATCGTTCAGCTGGTACGGAAAGTAATTATTTCGCATGAACATGTTTTTTTTGGTATTATGTCCCAATTGCCACTGTAATTACTGAATGGGTCACTGAAAGAAATGCCCATGCACAACACAGGAATTCACCCTTCTCATAGTTTCTCATTATGCCATGTGTAATTGCATGCATATGCATATATATATATATATATGCATGTTAATCCTCAGTTTAATTTGAACTGGTTTTTATCGGCCTGATATGGTCTACAGAATATGGTTTCTGATGGAATTGAGCCAGATCAGTTGCACGTTCCAGCCAAACTGTAGATGGACCATTGATTACGTCTAGATTTCGATAATATGAGTACTGTTGACCATATTATGTCTGGTCATCAAATCTTTACTCAATTAGTAATAATTATTAATTATTGCTAATGGTATTCAGTCATAGCATGCATGTTAGTAAGGTGACATTTGAGGTTATTATTAATGTTAATGAATTTGAAAAGTGTTTTTTGGGATTCTCGATCTTTATAATGGAAAATGTCTTTCTCTGACTGCTCTTAGAGAAATATCACAGTAGTTTATTTCCAAAATCTTTAGAAGTACAAGGCTGTTTCAAGTTTCATGAGCGCTATCTGGTTTTCCATCCATTGCTCAGTAATTTTAACAGCGTTGTCCCTGAAATTTGGGAAAAGTTAAAAGATTGAGTACCTTTGAAGCAAATCATTTCAGAAGAACTGAAGGAAATGACTGAGCATCTTTTTTTTGAGACACAACTATTGTCTAGCATACTTCTAGTGGGGTACAAATTAATGTCTTAGACCTGGTAAGGAATAGCCTTTTCCACCATTATGCATCTTGCCTTTGGTGAGGTTGGAACCTCACACTTCCCTGTTTGGAGGTGAGACCCTACCCATTTAGGCTCACCCACGATGGTTCAGATGATTGAGCATCTTTGGTCAGCATAAAGCTATAGTTAGTGTTGGAAACGCGGATAGTTGGTTAAAAAAAAAAAATATAGAGAACCTTTACAAAACTATTTTGTTATTATTAGTATCCTCTTAGGAATATTCTGATGCTCCATAATGTTTCCTTTGTGTGTCTTTTTATCTCTTTCCTCCTCCTGTTATATTTGCATGAATGTAGTTGTTTAAGCTTGCATGTTTCATCCATTGTGATGGTTGAAGTAATTAACAAGTTCCTAATATCAATTTCCGCTTCTGGAATTCTCAACCTTTATATATTTTTGCTCTCAGTTGGCTTTAAATGAGATAGAGTGCAACCTTTGTCGCATGTAATATATATGTTAATTCTTTTATTCGTAAGAAAGTTTTGAATGAACACTGTGCCAGATCGTAGCTTTCTTAGGCGTGCTGGTCTACAAATTTTATGGAGACGAACTTCGGGAAATGTTCGGTTATGAAGAGCACCCATATGGGTTTTATACAATGGCTGGTAAGCTCACTTGTAGCTGTTAGATGATTTGTTTCTAGATTTGATGTTTAATGCATATTTGCACACTGGGAAGGCCTTATCTGTGCAACATCCTCAACGTTTAGTGCTTGTGCGGGAAATATGCCTGCCATTATTACAAATTATACATGACTCAGAAGAAAAATATCAGTACGAACACCTTAAGTTTTTCTTTTATAATATATTTGCTGTTGTTTTTGCTTCCCCTTTTTTTTTTTCCCCAATGTAATTTAGCTGATGAAATGATAGAGAAATTCTTTTATTTCATGAATGTCGGTGTGCTCTGCCTTTGAGTATTCTACGTACTTGGTGTAAAGTATATCGCACCCTGGGGTATATTGATGCTTACATAGAGTTTCTGGCTAACTTTTTGTTGTCTTTTAGGATCTTGGCACTCTTTTGTATACTTCATCTGTACTTGTAATTTTCCCTAGTTCTTGGCAGTTGGCAGCTACGGTGGATGCTTAGTGTTTCATTACTTTTACTTTGATTTAACGAGAAAAAGGAGAATCACTTTCGTGTGATTAAGTGTAGTCTCGCATACATGACTTGATAAGAGAATAAGAGAGAGAGAGAAAATGAAAGAGTAGAAATGAACACTCATGTCCTAAATATGGTTGTTGAATAGACTTTGGAGAGAAAACAGGAGGAAGTAACAGGAGGAAGACAGAAGAAATGGTTGAACATTGGGCAAAGAATGGTATTCTGCTTCATTAAAATCTCCTCTTGACTGCACACAGGCATGCTCACGCCATATTTTTAAGGCTCATTTGTCTTCAGACAATGGCAATGCATGAATTACTGCAATTGGTTTTTAAGCTGTTCTCTTGATGAACTCTTTATTTCAGACTTTCAAAGAAACAATGTGTATGACAATAGTTTTGAAGATGACTAATGTGGATTATGCATTGTAACCCGTAGAAATTTTGTCCTGGTGAAGACTTGCTTGGCTTATTACTTCATCTTTATCTAAACATCACTACTAACATGAGTCAATCTATTATCTGCCATTATGAAGCGCGTGATTTCTCTGCAGCATTTTGTTAATACACTTTTATAGGCAGTATCTTCAATAATTATTGTGTTTTGGCTATCATTGAAGTTCTTACTAGATGAATTCCTTTTCATCTAGCTTGATTTATCATTTTTCCCCTTTACTGTGCAGTTTTAGCTATTGTCTTGGTGGGTTTGCTCTATGGTTTCTTCATTGCAATAATTTGTGGCCAGAGGATCAATGAACGCCACTACCACCTTCTTGCCAAACAGGAGCTGACAAAGGTTTGGTGGCTTACTCTTAGTGCACACTGAAAAATTGCATGCGTATTTGGGGTCAAACTCATTGGAGGAAGTCACTTTAAGGGGAAATCTTTCCATTAGATAGCATTCGAATTTTATAAAACTGTAGCATGTTTTGCTGTTCTAAAGCTAGAGGAATATAAGCCTGTTAAGTTTCAGTGATATGTTGTGCAGGATTTATTGTCATATGACATTTCATATATTAATTGCTCTTTTCTAAGGAACAAATTGACGAGGTAACAAAACAAGAGTAAGATTGGATTGACATTTTTTTATGCTTTCCACCTACTAAGAGAAGAATGGGGTGGATAATACAAGGGTCAAACATGATGTGCAGTTACATGCACTAAACATGATGTGCAAAGATTAGAGAGAGTTTTTTTTTTTTTTTTGTGGCTCACATATGAACTCAAATTGGCTTGCAAGTGCGGGACACTGTTATTTCTTTCAAGCTGGAGGATGTGGATATCATGTAATGTCTTAGGTTGTGGAGTATTGGATTTAGCCTTCCATGTTAAAGTGCAAGGATAGTTTATGTTTTTGATATTGTGTGCTGTATTGCACTGTAAGGTGAGATTATTGCATATGTATTGGCTTGGCAAAAAATTACAAAGTTACATAACAATGATGTTTAACAGTGCTGTGCTCGATTATCCTAAATTAAGATGGACATGAAGTGCAATAAATTAAATGCTGTGGCTGGTGGGAACTGATAAATTTAGGTGCTAGAGTTTGGCTGTGGGACATTAAGGAGTTGGAGGTTATATATAGAAACCTGATGAATCACTAGAGGGATTTTATATATGCAAAGTCAGATGTATGAATTTATGATCATGCTTGGATGCAAGATACTATATCCCAGTCTGCTGAGTCAAAGTTTTCTATTTTCTAAAGGAGGACAAATTAATAAATTAATATGGGAATTTTTTTTCAAAATATGCGTTGCTGAAAATTTAGATTTGGAGGAATAAATATGTCCATAAGAATGTGATCATTTCATTTTTTTAAATTAATTTGGTCATCAAGTATTAGGTTTTTGTGTTCTTTTGATTGATTCTTAAAGTTGTAATTCCAGGAATATGTGGTAGAAGACAGAGAAGCTCAAAAGAATGTCCCAGAACTTGACCCCTCACATGTTACAGAGCTAAGGATGTTAGGCCTGTATTGAGCTGAGAATTCATGTCTGCTGTTAATTTATTCGGTAAATGCCATGTTTTACTTCTACATTTCTTGAAATTGTTCCCTCTTTATAGCCGCTGTGCCTTTCTAATCCGTGTTTCTTGCTTCAGTAGAAACATAATGTGTAGATTACACCTTGATTTCTTTGCTTCTCATTTGTTTGATTAACTTGTGGTGTACGATTGGAGGATAAAAAGAAGTATTTAGATCAACAAAAATGTATAAAGAATATCATTAGTGTACAAGGAATGAAAAAAATGTGTTGCAGTTTGTAGTCTCAAAAGAAATGTTTATCATTATTGATTTGGTGGAAGATCGAGTGTGAAAAAGATTCAAGATCTCATTCTTTCAGCATTTTAAAAAAAGACCTGGCTCTAAATGTAGTGATAAATCAACACTGGTGTTGGCCAGTGTTAATGTTCGTTATAAAGTGCCGTTCATGATGGCAAATCATGGTATCTTCTTTGGTCTAGAAGTCCTCTTCACACCAATTGTGGTTTTGACTGGAGACTTTGAAAGAGATTGTGAGAGTGGTGAAATGAGGCATTTTGACAGCTTGCCTAGCCAAATGAATAAGCGATATAGGTGCCAGAAATGTTTACTGGAGCACCTCATTTAAAGATTTCCTTCTTTATGCTTTGTTCAGGATGAGAATACTAAAAGGGGAGTGCCTCGTGGATTCTTTTTCTTTCAAATGCCTTATTTGAAGCCCAACATTCAATAGCGATTATGTCTTACCTTTAACCTNGCTTTGTTCAGGATGAGAATACTAAAAGGGGAGTGCCTCGTGGATTCTTTTTCTTTCGAATGCCTTATTTGAAGCCCAACATTCAATAGCGATTATGTCTTACCTTTAACCCACAAAATTTCCCTCGTAATGGGCTATTTCTTTTAGATTCCTTGTTTCAGCCATCGACAGTCATCTAATATGATTAACAACTGCATTTCATATTTAACATCTTTTCTCCAAACCAAGTTGATAAAACTCTGGCATTTTCATCGTTTATACTTCTTGCTTCAAGTTCAACCATGTGGCATTTTCATCTTTTATACTATTTGATACAATGCTGTTCACCTCAAGTAGACTGGTGATTTGACACTTCACTGAATTATTGACATATATGCTCTGTAACTTTTTGCAACATTCGCGGCGTGCTCTAAACCTGATATGTGTTGTGATATATGGCAGTGTGAATCTTTGGACATTGGCGGCAGTGTCTAGGACCAATTCATCCATTTTTGGGGGTCCAGCATGTGGCCATTGGTCAACTCAGCTCAATAAATCCTTGTCCCAACTACTCGGGGTCAGGTTGTGGCTAGCAATTGCTGTCACTCAAACTGAGAGACTCTTGACACGAAAGCTGCAAGTAGCTTTTCTTATATGCACGACTATTTGAGCCTGGTAATCGAGTCTTTCTTTATGTTAAACCACGGAACAAAAAGGTAAATGTGTTCTCTCGATTCTTTTGTTTGTCGTGTTTTGTGTTTCAGTCTTCACTCTGCTAGAGAAGAATATCTTCTAGCACTGCCTGTTGTTTTCACCATAAGTCGTGTGGTTAATCAGGTAGCATGGCCACTTTTGATTTGTACTACGCCTACTATTCTGTTGCGTCTCCTTCCCAAGTGATTTTGATATTTGTGTGCACCAAATGTGTTGTGCTGGGGTTTCGTGAGAACCAAATTGGTTTCTTTGGCCCCAACTCAAGGGTATAAAGATTTCAAAATAGTTCTCTTGCTCCCCCCTACTCTCAAAGGACTTAAGTGTTTCACTCGCTAGGGGATGGGAATTTATTCGCTTGCATTCATGCTAGCACTTGAATAGCTCCAGTCTTAACGGCCCTACTAATGATGTGCTGCTTTCCTCGGGTTGTGTGCACTCTTTGTACATCAGATCCACTTTGAAGTTGACTTGTTTACTCGGGAAATCAAAATGTGCACAAAATACCATTATGCCCCAATTTCTCAATAGCAGCTTTGTCTAAAGCCTCAAATAGCACTTCATATCTGTTTTTTCCAAAGCTAATGGAAAAGCCAGTGTTTATTGAATAGGCTATAGAATCGATAAAACTGTACTGAGTGGGAAAGTAGAGATTTTGGCTGTATAAAGGAATGGCGTCTCCTGTTCTTCTCGCCAACCTAGCTCCCGCAGCCACTCTAATCTAATTGAATGAATGTTTCAGAATAATTTTCTCAACTCTCTTGGTAGGGGGTGAGATTTTTTCAGTACATTTTCTCTTCAATTCTCCTTAGTACATCATTCACCATACATTTAAGTAAAACACATTGTATATGAGTGGGTCTCACACTCATTAATGGTGAATAATGTGTCAAAAAGAAAATTAAAAAAATATATATATACCGAAAAAGATCAGAATNCTAATTGAATGAATGTTTCAGAATAATTTTCTCAACTCTCTTGGTAGGGGGTGAGATTTTTTCAGTACATTTTCTCTTCAATTCTCCTTAGTACATCATTCACCATACATTTAAGTAAAACACATTGTATATGAGTGGGTCTCACACTCATTAATGGTGAATAATGTGTCAAAAAGAAAATTGAAAAAAATATATATACCGAAAAAGACCAGAANACATCATTCACCATACATTTAAGTAAAACACATTGTATATGAGTGGGTCTCACACTCATTAATGGTGAATAATGTGTCAAAAAGAAAATTAAAAAAATATATATATACCGAAAAAGATCAGAATTTTTTTTTGTTTTAAGGAGATTGAGCGCTACATGCCCTCGTTGACAAGAAATGCTATGCTTTTCCAAACATATCCCAAATTCTTCATTTACTTCTGCACCACAACATTAGATGAAAAAGTTGATTTTTTAGATCCCATAACAAATGTGTGGTGCTGAAGCATTTGAGGTAGAGAATTTGAGATTTGTTTTCAAAAACACGACATTGTTCTTGTTATTTTTCTTGCATNGTTTTAAGGAGATTGAGCGCTACATGCCCTCGTTGACAAGAAATGCTATGCTTTTCCAAACATATCCCAAATTCTTCATTTACTTCTGCACCACAACATTAGATAAAAAAGTTGATTTTTTAGATCCCATAACAAATGTGTGGTGCAGAAGCATTTGAGGTAGAGAATTTGAGATTTGTTTTCAAAAACACGACATTGTTCTTGTTATTTTTCTTGCATGCATACACAATAGTGTATACTATTGAGACCTAATAATTTGACCTAAAATTCCGATGTAATTAGGTTAAGGTTTTAGATCAAGATTACTAAATCTTAACATCATTCAAATCTATGGACAAAGAAACATGTGCCTCATGTATTATTTAAAAAAAGGTGATTCAATACAGAAAAGTCCTGCCACAATGGAGAGAGGCAGACCCTGAACGCCTTCATTCCATATAAGAAATTTTGGTATTCAACAAACCCTTTACCGCAAGGCTTTCAGCCTTCGGAAAATCATTACACTTTTGATCCACAACACACCAATAATTTCCAATTGGCACAGCAAGCAAACCTGATAATGGCCCATTTCCCATTCAGCAGTTCACGTACCGGTCCATTGCTCACTCTTACAACACATTCTATTGAAATAAAAGAAGAAACCGCTTCTAATATATACATTGTAAACGTTAAGTTCCACTAAAAGTGACAAAAATGGCAAAACCATGGGAATGGGTAATTATAGCAGGGAATGTTATAATCAATCATACAATGTAATATCAGGCAAATGGTCTCTGTTGGTCTCTCAACGAAATAAGAGATGGAATCAATTATTTGAGGCCATAGACATTATCGCAACAAAAAATTCCACAACACTAACCAGGTTGCATCTTTCACCGTCTTTTCTGTGGTCATTTCTTCACTTCTTCCTTTGTTATACCACATAATAATTTACAGGTGTTTACGAGCCTGCATATTCCAGCAGTTAGTTAATCGTATCATGGCAGTATTATACAGCCAAATGTGCGTGCGGAAAAGTATAGTGCACTCAGCAAAACAATTAAACCAAATGACCAAATAAGACCTAATGCATGCAAATCAGCCTTCTTTTCTGTTACTGCTGGATTTGCCATTGTTTAGCAACACGTCGACATCTATAAGGTTGCCTAGTTTCTTCTCATCCCAGATTACAAATGGTATTACATCATTGAATAAATTAAACTCACCTCAGTCCATCATAATTTTTAACATACAGCAAAGACGAAGAACAGACAANCTTTTCTGTTACTGCTGGATTTGCCATTGTTTAGCAACACGTCGACATCTATAAGGTTGCCTAGTTTCTTTTCATCCCAGATTACAAATGGTATTACATCATTAAATTAAACTCACCTCAGTCCATCATAATTTTTAACATACAGCAAAGACGAAGAACAGACACAACAGATTTTTTGGGGGCAGAAGGGAAAGCATACAGTGCAAAACAGAAGTGCATTAACATGTAGCCTTTCCTCTTCAGTGTTCAGGTGTTCAAAGCAATGGGCTAAACAATAGTTGAATAATGGATTATAACTATAGAATCCCATTCCTAGAGAAAGCTGAAAATGGGACCCAAAATTACGTGGTCCAATGTTACTCACCAACAAATTCTCTACCATGCAAAATTGGAGATGGGACCCAAAAATGTGTTCTATCATCAATAAATTTGCAACAAATAAACCTCATTCCAAGAATTTTTTCATTGAAAGCCTCATCTTTATTAAGAAAATTACTAAACAGAGCAATTGTCAACAGCAGCTGAACTTTATATACAATGACAATGCAGCCTCCCACTCACCTCAGATTTCAGTTCTCTTAGAAATGTGTTTATCCTTCCTCATCCTCTGATTTGGATATGCTTTTGGAACTTGTCTCTATTTCTGGCGGATTTGAAGGTGCACCTGAAACAAGAGGGAAAAATGGCAATGTAAGCAAAATGAACTTCTTACATCTTATTGTGGTGCTGTAATTATATTTGGCTGAACTTAACATTCGCGTACTATCATAGAACACGAGTACCACATTCCCAAAGCACAACATTTTCACTATTGAGAACAATTAAATACCATGAACATCTAATCTATCTTGTGTAGCCAAAATCATTGGCAGGCATAGTAGGGGATGCAAGCATCACATGATTGGCCCTTTGGTGGATGGGGGGTGACACCCCCACAAATTTTTATAAACAGCTTATAAATCAGTCCTTGCATATAAGAGATTTTGCTCAAATTATCAAGTGATAGAATGCTCAAATCATCTTACAAGACATGTTAAAACGTCAATCAATTGTTCACCTCCTCAACTAATTGCTCAACTCCCAAATCTGATAATAAGCTTCAAGGCATTCAAAATGTACAAGGAATCTTCAACGAGCACAAACATCAACTATGCAATAGTAGGTGTGCTTCTTGCCCAATACATAAAACAGATGCATGCAGAACTAAGTTTACTGATGTCAAGAGATGAAGATCCTATACTAAGGACATATATCGCTCAAAGAGCTCATACATGGAAAGTTCCTATAGACATAGAAGTTCTTGTAACATCCACATGAGATGCCAGGCCTCATCCTTCAACCAAAGACTACTATTCAACACTCAACCAACCCAACAAAGCCTTTTCATAAACAATTACCACTATGTGATAAACAATTATATCAAATTGAGTATCTTGCGGTACGTTTCAGCTCCAATGGTAGGAAAAATCTGTCACAAAACCCACTATGGTGACATACTGTTTCAAAATTTTTGCAGTGCCACTTATCTTATCTCCATGTTTCTTATTAAACAAACAAACAAACAAACCACATGTCTATACTTGCCTTTTAGCATCCGAGTAAAAATCAATTGATGTGATCACCAAAGGCTTAACATCAATCAATCAATCAATCAATCAATATCCTCCTCCCATCCGAAACATCTATCAGTTTTCGGTTTTCAAAGAACTTATTTAGAAATTGTCAATCTCAGAAAGCAAGACTAATAAACAATCAACTAAAAAAAACACAAAAAGCCTCTAAAGACTTATCATCTCAATTTGAATTGATCCTGCGTGCATATATACGTAGGCATGTACATTAAAGATGAGTCATTTCATCATACCATCGACAAAGAAGGTCGAAGAAGGCCAACCGCGGGTCATTGTAAGAGACATGACCTCCTCTTCGGNAGAACTTATTTAGAAATTGTCAATCTCAGAAAGCAAGACTAATAAACAATCAACTAAAAAAAACACAAAAAGCCTCTAAAGACTTATCATCTCAATTTGAATTGATCCTGCGTGCATATATACGTAGGCATGTACATTAAAGATGAGTCATTTCATCATACCATCGACAAAGAAGGTCGCAGAAGGCCAACCGCGGGTCATTGTAAGAGACATGACCTCCTCTTCGTTGAGAGAATTCGACATCTTCCGAAAAATTTCGGCTATTCCGTAGGACTCCCTTTTAGGAGGGACCCAGTACGAAGCTCCGGGGTAGAAAGGAAGCCAATCAGGCGCCAATCGCTTCACGATGATCCGGTGTATGGCATCCTCGATCCTCCGCACAGCCGGAGCATTGCGCTTTTCGGTCTCTGGGTCGATGTGGTTGGGATCCACGACGTGGGAGTTCTCAGATTGGCTCGATTGGTTTCTGAAAGCTACGAGGCGAGTGAAATGTTGAGGCGGTGGAGGCTTGGTGGCCAAGAAAGACGATTGAGATGTTCGGATTAGGGTTTGAGACATAGATCGAGCCATGTAGACGATGACACAGAAATTCGTATAGATAATCGACGACGACACTAGTAAGAAAAAGTGTTCTCAGAAAGAGCGAGAGAGAGAGGATTAGGTTTATGTATCTGTGGTCGGACGGGACAGTGAATCCGTTCACCTATATATATTTCTGCGGTGGGCGGTCTAGAAATTACCAAATCCTACTGTTCTACGCGCACCAAACTTCAAATCTTATCCGGAAAAATCTTATTTTACACGTTCAAAGAGATTTAAGTTTTTTTTTAAAAAAAATTAATTTTTTTATATTATACCTTTAATATATTATAAATATTATAATTTTATTAACTTTTCTTATTTATTTCATCAAAATTCATTTTATTAATGTTGGCAAAAATAATAACAAAAATTAATAGAAATGTCACAATGTAATAATTTTAATATATTAAGGATATAATATGAAAAATTTAATCTTTTAAGATATAAATTAAAAATTCTTAAAATGCAAAGTGTAATTCATCCATCATATTATACCTAAATTTGGACTCTAATCCATCATATTATAGGGATTTGGACCCTATGACTTTGTTTGTTAAGGAGGAAAATGGTGTAATCAGATATAAATTGTAACTTAAATAATAATAAAAATGACCAGCAAATGTAGAGGTCTTGAGTTTGAATATTGGTAATTCCGTAAGACCATAAGAGATTTATTCCTAATAATTATTTTAATTCTGGCGTAGATAATTTATCTTTAATCGAATCAAGAAAGAGATTAATTGAAATGTACATAAATTGGCTCAGACAGTTCTAATTGTTAAATGAAAAAATAATAGTGGAAAGTGAAGGAAAGAGAAGATAAAAATAATTTTTCATATTAGTTTTATTTTGAATAAATGAAATAATATAACATATCTTAGCCATTAAGGGTTGGCGATGTCTACTTGGAGCCAGACGATTTTAAAACAATTGCAGTGTTATCAAAGCAATTGCCATGATATACGGGGGAATAAATGGATCGGCCAATGTCTTTTTAGGGGTGGGCAGGTTGGACAGTTAATTATAATCCAACTCTAAGTATATAATTTTTAATTTTAACCTTAATCCTAATTCTAACCTTAACCTTACCTCGAGTTGAGGAACTTAACCCGAACATTGCCCGAGTTTAATTCGGGCGAGCTCAAGTTGAATTCGGATTAATGATTTCGGGTTACTTTACGGGTTCAATTCACGTTGAGTTCTGGTAGAGTTCAAAATAGATTTGTTATTCTAAACCTAATACATATATTATGTAATATTCATTTAAATTAACAACTATTAACTTCAACCAAGTTTTTAACAGTATTAATATTAGAACAAAAATGAAAATGAACAAGAGAGACAGAAAACGATAGAACAAAAATGAAAAATCAGTACTAATGCTTTATATATATAATTTTTTTTTTAATTTTTTGGGTTTGGGTTGAACCCGTGAACCCGAGGTCTTAACCCGAGTCCAACCCAAATTGAATTCGAGTTGGAGTTTTTTGACCCAAGTCCAACCAAAATATTAAAAACCCTTGCCCAAGCTGTAAAACCCAAGTAAATTTAAATTTTTTCCTAAAAAGGGTAAAATAGTAAATTGTCACTATTATGCGGGTTTAAAATGCATATTTCTAAAGAGCTCGAATGGAGCAACGGACTTTGCCGTTAGATTTGTATTGCGAAATTAAGCTGCCATGTCAAATTTCGTCGAATTTCGAGATAATCGAATTTTTCATATTTTTCGAGACAATTGGGTGATGAATGAACTTTCAAAGGTCCCCAAAAAATGAAAAATATAAAATTTCTTTATAATTGGATGAAAGTTCAAATAAAATTAATTTGAACTAAAACCAGAATTTAATTAAGTCGTTTTAGGTTAAAAACAAACCCGAAAGTGATAAATATGCGAGGCAATGTAGACCACGCAATTAAAAGTATAAATATGGCTAAATATCTGAGAAATCAGATATTTCTCAACCCTTAGTCGGCTGAGTTCAGGCGTGTGAAAAGGAGAAGAGAGAAAAACCAAAAATTTTTACCTTTCTCCTTCGATTACCGGAGTTCCGTCGGTCGGAATCCGTCAGACCAAGAGCTAAAGTTGGTCTACATGACGAGGGTTATGTCTACGTACTAAGAACGAGGGATTTCACCAAAGATCCAAGGGAAGAATTTTGGAAAATCAAGGACTTTTGGAGCTTGAGAGGTATTCTTGAAGTTCTACTATTGTTCTCACGCTCCAAGAGGTAGGGGTTCTCTTATCTTGGTTTATTTTCTTACCTAGATGTCATATGGAATGGGTAAAGGGAATACATTAACCTAGGTTATTAACTAGGGTTATGGAGATAAGGAAAAAGGGATATGGAATTAGCCTAGGCAAGTTCCTAGCTACTTTTGGGTAAAGAGAATTTACTTGTGAAATTTGTTGTAACTTGATAAATGTTGCCATTATATCTTGTCAATGACTTGGATCAATTTATGTTATAACATGAATTGTTGGCTTTCGAGGTGTATTGCTAAATACCTATATAAAATTTAGTTGTTATGGTATGAGTTTGTATAACATGCCATGAATTTTGTTGAGAAAGTATGAGTAAGGATATGTTGTTAATATGTTAATATCATGTTGATTATGGTGATTATATGCAATTGATGTTAATTGTCATATTGTATATTGAGATTGGTTAAATAGCTCATTTGACATACATTGTATAATTGAGTATGACATAAACATTGCAATGGTGCACTACATTACATTTGCACGGGAAATACACATCCATGACCATGAGTACAGGTGTGTGAGTGCATGGTTGAATCAATCACTGTACTTGGTGTTTGATGAGTGGGTTCGGAAAAGTGGGGTTGAATATCCTATTGAGTCGCATGGTTGCATACATGAAAAACTTATGTCCGATATAGCAAAAACGGATAGATCCCCCCTCAGGCTCATTTGGCATACATTATATAATTGAGTATGACATAAACATTGCAATGGTGCACTACATTACATTTGCACGGGAAATACACATCCATGACCATGAGTACAGGTGTGTGAGTGCATGGTTGAATCAATCACTGTACTTGGTGTTTGATGAGTGGGTTCGGAAAAGTGGGGTTGAATATCCTATTGAGTCGCATGGTTGCATACATGAAAAACTTATGTCCGATATAGCAAAAACGGATAGATCCCCCCTCAGGCTCATTTGGCATACATTATATAATTGAGTATGACATAAACATTGCAATGGTGCACTACATTACATTTGCACGGGAAATACACATCCATGACCATGAGTACAGGTGTGTGAGTGCATGGTTGAATCAATCACTGTACTTGGTGTTTGATGAGTGGGTTCGGAAAAGTGGGGTTGAATATCCTATTGAGTCGCATGGTTGCATACATGAAAAACTTATGTCCGATATAGCAAAAACGGATAGATCCCCCCTCAGGCTCATTTGACATACATTATATAATTGAGTATGACATAAACATTACAATGGTGCACTACATTACATTTGCACGGGAAATACACATCCATGACCATGAGTACAGGTGTGTGATTGCATGGTTGAATCAATCACCGTACTTGGTGTTTTATGAGTGGGCTCAGAAAAGTGGGGTTGAATATCCTATTGAGTCGCATGGTTGCATACATGAAAAACTTATGTCCGATATAGCAAGAACAGATAGATCCCCCCTCAGGTGCTAGGCCCGATTATTGGTTTATACACTTCTGACGGTGTAAGTCCAAAAAAGTGTATCGATGTGTAGAGTCGGCGATGCAACACCAAAAGTCCATTATCCAAATAAAGACACATAGTTTTGGTTGTACAAATGATTTATTTGATGGAAAACATCCAAAAATAAATTAGTTTTTATGAACACATGAGTTTTGTTTCAAAATGATCATTGGATGTATTTCATCAATGACAAGGGTTTTACACTTGCATGGCATAGTGTGGTGAGAGTCGGTGAGGGCTCGGTTTGATGTGCGTGAGTGAATTTCATTTCATTCATGGCATGACATGATATTCCAATATAAATCATATATATTCTTGATTGGAATGATTATATGATTGTGAATGTTGCATATGCACTTAGGTTGGGGAGTAGCCTCTATAGAAAATATTCTACTAGGCGTTGTCTCACCCTATACGGAAAATATTTCAAGTGCGAGGTTCATACCAGAAGAGGACTCGTATTCTGGGCCTCAATGATGAAGAAAAGCCGACTTGTGACTTTTGTGACATATTTTGTGTAATCTTTGTTGGAACAATGTTTTAACATGTAAAATTTATGCAAATGCATGTAATAGAACTTGTATGGATCATGTATAATGTAGAAAATGTCATTATACATGTTTGGAATGAGTTTGAAAAGGTGTTGGATGAATTGAAAATGAAAATCTGATGAAACATGAAATTCTGGGCAAAATCTTCCGGAATGTCACAACAAACTTCCGGAAGGTTAGTGTAAAATTTCTATCTAATAGGTAAAACCTACCGGAAGGTCCACAAAACCTTTCGGAAGGTTCATGCAATTTTTCATCTAGTGGGCAAACCTTCCGGAAGGTAAGTGAAACTTTTCGGTAGAAATTAGTCCAGAAGGTAAAACCTACTAGAAGATCCATAAAACCTTCTGGTAGAAATTTTTCAGTGAGCACACCTTCTGGAAGGTCTATAACAAAACCTTCCGGAAGATTTTCCAAAAATCTGAAATTTTAAGAATGCATTGTCATACTCTTGGGCTATGTGTTCTTTGGTTCCAATGACACAAATGAACCTTAAATGAGATACATTGGGCATGTTGAACCTCGATAGGATTAAATGAATTAAAGAAAACACGGATCCTCGTTTGGATTGTAATCTCGGTTACAGGAATGTGATAGACGTGATGTCGAGTTATGCGACAATCACAAGTATTTCCGTGGGTTGACAGGTGGTCAACGGGACCCCCGATTTTAGGGGTGTCACACAAGCCCTAATTTTTTTGGGTTGGGCTTGGG